CTTCTGCTTACACACCCGACAAACCATCCCAGCCAGTTCCAGGATACACAATCCTACCATGTGCCAGGAGGTAGACAGGCAGAAAGATACCATCCTAAGTTTGTTATGACCATGCAAAGGCTCAATGTTTATAAAGTACTTTGTAAAGCACTCTCCGTGTTTGCTGATGATAGTGTTATTATTATCATTATTAAACGAAATAGATCTATTATGTTTATAGCAGTTGTTTTCTTTTAAAGGCCAAGTCCTATCAATCAAGCTCTCATCCATGTTCGGTCCAGACGTAGAGCAGCTTAGCAGTCCCCTCCCTCCACCCTGACCCATTCTCAGGACTTTGCAGCCCAGTGGGATCCATAAAGGTCAACCAGGGTGGACCACACTGGAGGGAAATGAACTCTAGTAACTTTTATAGGTATTGGATGCTGTGAAGAGCTCAGTTCTGAATGGGTTTCACACACAAGTATTTATACTTCAGGCTGTAGCATGCAAACAGTAATCTGCATTTATTGGTTTCGAATGCCAATTTCCTCCAGCTCCAGCTATCCTTTGTGTTACATAAACAGATCTCAACCATCTGGACCAGAACAAGACAAGCTCAAGGCTGCACACACTCATCACCAGAGCAACAAATCAAAATACAATCACTTGGAATTCTGCCTAACCGAAAACTGGAGTGAATGTCAAAGTTTTCAAAAAGCTGTTCGAAAAATGTGCTTTGGGTGTCAGAATAGAGTTTTAAAAGGATGTTGAAAGCACAGCAGACTATTTTATCCATTGATGAGTAGAAGCAAACATAACCAAAGGATTATGTCCTTTGATACTACCTATACTATGAGCAATTCAATTCAGTATTCGCGGACTTACCTTGAATTGGAAAAAGCCCTGGGAAAGTCATCTCAGACATGTGGGAGAATGGAGTAGAGATGGCTGTAAGACCTACTCATGACCATCAGAAAGCAAGAGCTTTACTTCCTACCCAACTAAGAATATGATAATTGCAAAACCCAGCTAAAATCGAATCCACCAATATGAAAACACCGTGATTCAAAAGCAGGTTATGTAAAAAGAAATCACTGTGCCATGATTAAGCATGTTTCCACCTAGCCACCTGGACCTCAGAACTGAGTGGTAAGCAGCATCTCCCTCATAAAAGTCCAGGCTGCAAAGTATATCTTCCTCCAAACAAATACAAAGACAATTATCAAGCTGGCCTTGCCCAAAAATAGACAAAAGAGCCATTGAAAATGCTTTAATTCTTTTCTCCTTTTCTAAGATTATCTCACCAACTTATCAGAACACTCCAAATGTCCATACTTTGGGAAAGATAGCCACTACATCAGACTTTCTGGCTCAGATTCATAAAATCTGAACTTTAGGGAAAGAATATCCTGGTAGAGTAAGGCATACGTTAAGATTGTGGAAAAACTTGGGACTACAGAAATGGCTCAGCAGTTAAGAGTACATACTGTTCTTGCAGACAGCCTGAATACCAGCAACCTCAAGGGATGGTTCACAACCACCTGTAACTCCAGTTCCAAGGAATCTAATGCCCTCTCCTGGCATCTGCAGGTACCTGCAGACAAGCAGGCACACACACACACATACACATAAATAAAAATTGAAATGGAAATAAAAGAATGTCAAAATACTGAAGGCCCAAGACTGTTCCCTGTTGCTCCATAATAAATATCCAAGATTAACTTATAAAGGGAAAAGAGTGATTTGGGTTCATCTCTTGGGAGGCTTTAGCCAATGACTGTTTGGCCCATGCTTTGAGCCTGTGGTGAGGCAGCACACGATGGTGGGGCAGAACCACTCACCCCATAGCTGGAATTCAAATGACCCATTCAAGGGTGAATCCCCAGTGGCCTAAATTTAACCCATTCAAGGGTGAATTTAACCCGTTCAAGGGTGAATCCCCAGTGGCCTAAAGACCCACTACTAAGCCCTGCCTCTTAAAGGTTCCAGAGACTCCCCAAACCACCACTCTGAGGAGCAAGCTAATGGTCCCCCGAGGAGACTTGATCCTCTAAGAGAAAGAGTTGATATTCCAGTATTAACAAAATCACAGGGAAGATTGTGAAGTTTCGAATAATGAAGAGAAGGAAGTCATCGTGATTCCAGATTTTTTCTGTCAATGCATCTAGTACTGCATCATTTCATTTTGTCAACCTAAAAATATGTGAATGCATATACTGTACATGTAATCTATAAAAGATATGTTTTATGCATATATTATGTACATATATAATTATATATAGTATATACATATTGTGTATACAATTGCATATATGCAATATATTGCATACAAATATACATACTGTATATATGTATATGTATATATGTCTATATAACTAAATCAAAGCAAAGTCTATATGAACTTGGTTTTCTACAAATTTTTCAAAATTGGAGACTATAAACTGGCACCAAGGTAGAAGACTTCCTATCTGATTTTAAAAGTTTAATAATATAGATCTGAGCCAACTGAAAATTCACCTCAGGCCAGCGGTATGGTTCAGCAGGTAATGAGACTTGCTGCCAAGCCTGGAGACCTGAGTTCAATCCCCAGGACCAACATGGTGAAAAGGAAAAAAAAACCAACACTCTCAAAATGTCCTATGAGTTGTATACACACACACACACACACACACACACGCACGCACGCACGCACGCACGCACGCACACACACACACACACACACACACAGAACATACAGTTCTGAAGCAATAATTTAGATTCATCTCCCTGGATATAAAATTGGATCTCAATCACCTAAAAGTGATTCTATCATACTGTATCATTTTATCCCAATGTGCATCAAGTTCATTTTAAAACCAAATACTATCTCTCATTCTGTTACACACTAACTTTATAGGAAAACTAACTGAAAATATTTTTAACCTGTTTTCTACTCACAGCTTAGAAGATCCACATAGATATGGGCACAGTCTTGCCAAGAATACCTGCCCCTAGGCATGTAGCCTTCTGTGTCCACAATTCCAGTTCAAGTGATGAGCCAGTCCTGAAGAGTACATGCTGTGTATCCATTTTCTCCATGTTAAAGCTTATCATACTGAAGGGAAGCGCCTTAAAACTCAGTAATGTTCTAAAGACTCAGGGAATTCTGAGGGAAGACTTACTGAGACTCTGGAAGTTCCAAAGGGAGGCTCATTAAGACTCAGAAAATTCTAACAAGAGGGTGTTAAAGGAGATAAACAACTCAGAAATCTCAGGAAGTCCCTAAAACTTATTAGATGCAGAAAGTCCCCCTCTGTCCCATCCTCAAGGATATATAAGCAGTAGGAACTATATGGAGACACTTGAGCTGTCAAGCTACCTACAGGTCATGCAGTATGCTCTAGGGTTCCAATTTTCATGCACCATCACCTGTTCTGGGATAGGCTTTTGACACACCTGCTTTGAGCTTTCCCTGAGCCTATCACTAACCCATCAGCACACTCCTGGGAGTAACACCAACATGCTCATTGGCTCACTACATTGGAATTATTTCTTTGTTTTGTAGTCTGGTTTTCTATCTGTGGTGAGTAGGTTAAGTAGATGTTCGTTCATGTCTCTTCAAGAATAGAGCCACACAATAGCACTTCTAAAAAACTTAGAACCTTCCTAAGTACCTACGGTTTCCACTGACTACAAGTGTCATTGAAACAAAATCTCCACTAACTCTCCAAGGAGCATCCTCCTCCCTGTGATATTTAAATAAATAGAAAACAGGAGAAAATGTAGACCCTTATTTTATAATATACAGCAAAGATATTACAGGAAAGATGGCTTCTCCTGAATAAATTATAATTTATTTTACAATCTGATTTCCAATCCAAGAACAAAATTCTTGATTTCTTCTTGGCATGTATTCCTTTCTTGCTTTAAATAGTCTGGTAATCACAGTCCTGAAGGTTCGAATCACAGATAATTCATTGCATTTCGAACTATTTTCATTCCACTTTTTCAATTATTCAAGTTCAAAACAATATTGCTAAAAATATCTTTAAATGGTTGAAATAATCACTAATATTCTAGAATGCTTTTCTTTGTGGTTCATTAAGAATGTTGACAAAAATAAAAAAAATCCAGAAACCAGACTTCCAATTTGTTGTCCTCAGCCAACAATGCTTGGATTTTAGAAATGGAAAGAACTAAAGTTTATAAAATGCCAATAAGAAACCTTTTACTTCTCATACAAAGCAACATACTTTAGAAAAAAAAAAATGACCCTTTCCATCAGAAAATGTTTCCGTGACTTACAATAAGGTATAAAATGTTAATATATGCAAATCTTGATCCACATGTGTGAGGGAAGACTGGACCCATTCAGCTACCCCATTTAAAAGATTATCAATCTGAAATAAACTTCAGAATGATTTCCAAATGGAATTATTTACTGTGGTTTCCAAGAACATTTTTTACCCTAAACCAAGTCAGCTTCTTAAAATGAGAAACTAGAAAATGTTTATACCATGTCAACCTCATTCTCCAATCATATCAATCATATCAAATCACTGTAGTTGAGTGATTAGAACATAGATAGCAACATCGTTCACCAAGATATCAGATGGCCAACCAGCTTCCTTTCTCCACTGACCATATTTTACAACAGTCACCACACCGAAGAAGGACAGGGGCTAAATAGATAGTCTGTTGTTTTGAGAAAACCAAATTTTTGGCATAATGAGAAAAAGAAAACATTTCCTTTTAAACATCTGCTTCCTAGACCTGGGAATCTCTCTTACATACCGTGTTCCAAATACCACTTGTTTCATTAGCCAGAGCTGCAAACAAGTCTCATCCACAACCTTGTCAGGTTTACCTCCATAACAACCTTATAACAGAACAGGTTTTTCTCATCCCACTACCCAATGTCAGGAGCAGAGCCAACTAAAGATTTCCAAGAGCTTCCAAAAGATCAGCTTTGAATGGGCAAGGAGACTCTGTGGAGACGATGGCAGATTCTTACTGCTTTAGAAACAGAGAAGGCCTCTTACCTTACTCTCTTCTCCTTCAAACACAGACTGGTGAACATTGCATGCAAACAGTGAGTTGGGGAGATCGTTGAAGTCAGTGATTGCTTGGAAGGCTTCTTCAGCGAAGCACTGAGTGACAGCCCAGTCTCTGTCTATACAGCAGAGGAAGAAAAGTCCTCCGTCTTCAGGGATGGATGCTTGCTGCCCTAGGCCCCTCATTCCAATGAAGTAGGATTCTCCCCTCATCCCTGAAGAGACAAACACAGACATTGAGTCAAATTCCTTTAAACTCCTGTTTTCAGACCCCCCAATCTGGATGACCTGGGGCAGAGTAGGGGTCAATAATTAAAATGAGAGGCAGGTGCTAGTGAGTGAATGCAACAGGTTCACGTGATTTCCATGATCTTAATCTGAATTTCTCATACAGCCCTGCTTCTGACCAGGAACCTAGTCAGTTAGCACCATGGTCCAAAACAAGACTAATGGTAAGAGATCACAACAGCTGCAGGTACTACATGAGCCCTCATCCATGTTTGTGGGGAGGGGTAAGTATGTATGTGTATAGGCCAGAAGTGAGCAGTGGTTGGTTTTTTGGTGGTTTTTTTTTGTTTGTTTTATTTTTTGAGACAGTCTCTCACTGACCCTGGAGACCACTGATTCAGGAAGACTGGCCAGCCAATGAGCTCCACAGATCTTCCCATCTCTCCCCACCCCTAGCTCTGGGGTTACAAATGTACACCCCCTCTCCTGCCTTTTTACACAAGTGCTGGGGATCCAAACTCAGGTCTTCGTGCTTGTGAAGCAAATCCTTGTCTGACAGAGCCACCTCTCCAGTCCCCACATCAGCATGTTTTAAAACCGCCCCCAGTAGACCATGACAGGTTCTATTATTCTTCCTATTTTGTCAACGAGAAAGCAGAGGAATCAAAGCAATTAAGTAACTTTTATAAGGCTGATGACAAATTGGCAGAGCTAGGACTGAAACCTGGATGGCACCAGATGTCACTGTCCTATTTTGGAAGGATGGAGCAGATCAGAATGAGTGGACAGACATCTATTAAGATGGTCTACTTCATCATCCTCTGAACCTTCATTATGTTCACACATGTGAAAACACACACGCATGCCACATACATGACATCTGCTGCTGCTTTGGAGTGTCATTTTAAGGAACCGTGAAGCCAGTCAGGACTTGAAATATTATCATCTGAACCAGTCCATGGACTGTTACCCCACCCCCCGGTCATAACCCCCATGAGGCTTTCTAGCCACAATTCCACCTACCTTTGTGCATTCCCTCAAATGTTTCCTGATTCCTTACATTACTCATTCATATAATTCCCATGTTTCCCCCCCTTTTTAACACTGGCACATGGTTCTGTGTTTTTGGTCAGTTTCCCTGAGTGCTCAGGGTGGAAGCTTTTTTCTTTTGCATCTACTTCTTTGCCCATAATCTCTTCCAGTCAAAGATCAATGGATAGAGAACAGGAAGGCGAAGGTATGTGCCCATCTTCAGTCTGACTGACAGCTGTGACAGGGCTACTGAATCCCTAGCAGTAAGTTCTTGTCAAAACCAGCAACACAGGCTGGAAAGATGGCTTAGAGGTTAAGAACACTAGCTGCTCTCACAGAGGACCTGGGTTCAGTTCCCAGCACCGACATGGCAGATAAAAACTCTCCATTAACTCCAGTTCCAGGGGATCCAACGCCCTCTTCTGACCTCCACAGGGCATTGCATGGCATGGGTCACATACATACATACAGGCAAAATACTCATACACATATTTAAAATATTTAATTTTTAAATAAAATATTTAAAACAACCCAGCAGCATGGCCCCTTAGAGTAAAGGAAAGAAGGCGGGTACCACAGGCATCACTTTGTTCTATGAGATTTAGTGAGATACAACTTGTGGAGACCCATTCAACATGTGAGTTTCTGCTTATACCTCTCTTGAATTTAGAATGTATTGTGGTGGTGAGGTTATATTTGTAATTGCCACTTTTCCTAGAGATGCAAAATGAGAATTTGGTAAGGAATGTCTGATAGTAATATTGCATTACACAGGATTTCTCTGAGATAGGAATTCAAAATTAAATAACGTCTAACAGTGCAATGACTCAGCAGGTAAAGGCACTTGCTTGTAAGGCTGATGATCTGAGATCCATCCCTGTGCCCCATGTGGTGGAGGGAGAGAATCAGCTCCAGATTGTCCTCTGACTGCCACTGGCTTTCTATGGAACGCGCACACACACACACACACACACACACGTATACCCAACTCCTTCCACATACATAAAATAAATAAAATGTAATACATTTAATGAAAATCTAAATTAAATAATATAACTGTAATGTTAAAACACTGAAGTGAAACTGTTCTATACAAAATACAATGGAATTTGTGTTATATAGCTTTTAGAACTGCAATAAAGCACAATACTTGCCATATTTAGAACAAGAAAATAAAAATATGATGCATTTTATGTTTTATAAATAATCTAAAACTAAAATGTGGTTTTTATAGTCAAAAAATGAAATTTTTTTTTGTCTTTTTGAGACAGGGTCTCCCTGTAGCCCCAGCTGTCCTGGAACTCACTATGTAGACCAGGCTGGCCTTGAACTCACAGAGATCTGCCTGCCTCTGCCTCCCAAGTGCTGGGATTAAAGGCGTGTGCCACCACGCCCAGCTAAAAAAATATTTTAACTCAAAGGAATATTTAAATATCAGCAAATATTTAAATATCTATAAATAGAAAAAGATCTAACAGACATTTACAAAAAACAGACACATTTTTCATACTTCTTGGTGCTCTTGTTTCAGACATTTTTGAAAATATGTAATAGTTATTATTTAATCCTATTAGAGTATTATTTTAATAGAAAAACAATTACTAAGAACATCAAAACAGTATTACTTTCATTAATGGATTATAGGAAAACTTAATAATAAAGTCATAATTGCCCAGTAGCCCAAAATACACATAATTACCAATTTTGATTTTACTTTTAGTGCTATCTTGTTTAGATTTTTCAACAGAAATCAAAACTGGTCCCAAAATGTTGTAAGATGAGTTCTGAGACTTTTTCAATTCTTTTTTGCAAAAAGTAAAATCCATAGCTGAACAAATTAAATAGAGCAAATATTAAGCCTCACTTAGGACTGTACTTAATCTACTCAAATAGCTTTAACGTCTGTTCTCAGCTGTGGCAATATGATTATCTTCATGAGACTTTATTTTAAGCTCATTACTTTTAGTAAGGACTTAGAGTCGATGCATTTTTGGCGAAAAACCTACTCTACCTGAATGGTGAGATGCTTTAGAAGTCAGAGCTTTGAACAAAGGACCCCTAATTACTTTGATTTCTCCTTCCAATTCCATCAGTGCCTCATCTCATAAGCAAGAGAAAGAAAGTGATCAGTAAGTGACATGATTTAATCTATAAATAGAGAAAAAAAATTCTCCTGCCTTCCTCCAGAAAATGGGAAAAGAAGGAACTCCAACAGTAATGAGAGAAGCAATCGGAATTAGTTTATCCACTGTATACAATAGGAAATATCATAAACACTTCATTGTGATGACCTTAGAACAAGGAAATTCTGCCTTTTAAAATTACCACTAACTCTTAATAAGCCCAACAGAACAGAAAAAACACGAAACTCTGAAGATACAAAGAATGTTCTAATAAAGATATCACAAGCCTCAAGATTCAAGTAAGCTGTGTCCTAGTTACTTTCTATTGCTATGATAAAAACACTGACCAAATTACTTTGGGGAGGAAAAGGTTTGTTTTATCTTACATCTTTAGGTTCACAGCTCATTACTGAGGGAAGTCAAGGAAGAAACTTGGAGGCACAGATCAGGGAGGAACTTCACTTACTGGAGTGCTCCTCTGGGGTGTGTGTGTGTGTCCTTTCTGATGCAACTCAGGACCACCTGCCCAGGGACAGCACCACCCACAGTGGGCTGAGCCCTCCCACATCACTCACCAATCAAGAAAATACCCACATGCCAATCCGATGGAGGAAATTCCTCAAATGAGGTTCCCTCTAACCAGGTGTATCAAATTGACAACTAAAGCTATCCAGCCCAAGCTGGTTTATTTTGTTAAGTGAATTTCAAAATTCTTGATTATAGAAAGAAAACTTTAAGGAAACCATTACCTACACAGCATGGCATAAGAAGACGTGTGTGTTATTCTTCCTTTGAAGTGTGAGTTTGGGCATCCAACAAGGAACAGCTGCCTTCCTTCCACTCAGAGGCTGAACTGCCCACTGCCTGAGACCCTGGTGCTGTGTCTTGGAGCACCCAGTCCTCTCCCATAGGGCTACCCTCCACTGTGATTAGTGCTTCACTGATCTGTATCTGTCTCAGCCCAGGGTAGTGTTTTCTGAAAGCAAAGATGGAAGTCTCCATGATAAAGACCGTGCAGCTGCCTATAAAATCCTCAAAGTGATGTTTGCCTGTATTACATAACACAGAGTCACTTTCAGGAAGGAACAGAGCAGAACATAGATTATAATAGATTATAATAATCAACTTGGAATTCATGAATAATATACTAGGTTCAAATATTCACACTAAGAATGGAAATAATCTCATTCAACATTTGATATGCCAGAATCTATTTTATAAAAGTACCATGATCCATAGGGTGAAAACAGGAGGATCTATATACAAGAAGAACAACATTCATTCAACTGGGAAATTCAAAATGATATTAAGAAGAAAGAAAATAAATGGAAATCAGGATCCTGTTGTCCTGAAAAAATTCTGGAAAACAGAATACGAAATTGTTGAATTTTGCTCTAGTGCCTCCGTGTGTGTGGTGTGTACATGTTCATGTGTATATGGGTGCTGCAGTGCCTTGTGGTATCTATTCCTATATGTGTAGGTGCACATTCACACATGTGCAGGCGGAGGCCAGAGATCAATTCCAGGCATCTTTCCTCAGGTTCCTTCCACATTTTGAGGCAGACTTTCCATTGACCTGGAGCTCATCAAACAGAATATGCTAGCTGGCAAGTGACCCCAGGGATCCTCCTGTCTCTGCTGCCTATGGCCTAGAATTGCAAGTGCAAACTGATGCTCCTGGTTTTCTGTGTGCATGCTGAGGATCAAACCCCAAGCCTCACGCCTGTACAGTAAGTACTTTATGGATTAAGCTACTTTGCCAGTCCTTCTGGTACTTCTTTACATGTAAATTTTCTAACAATTGGGATTACATTCTGTAACTACAGGGTTGC